CTACCTGCATCCGCGTTATAAAAATGTTCATAAACAATTGGTAAGTTTATAGGCTTTTGGTTTGAAAATGTTTGGTTAAGTACCTAGAATTCAATAATTTGTTGTTTGTAGGTTTTAGATGTGTAGAAAGTGTTGTTTGCGCAAATGTTTGGTTTCTGCAGGTTAATCTCAGAAGTGAACTGCGTGAAAATGATGTATGGCTGCAATAGTTGATTCAATAGTAGATGAGGAAATAATTCTTATTGCTTATTTTTTGATTGTTTAATTGATTTGTAAAAGATGATTTGTAAAAGTTGATTCAATAGTAGATGAGGAAATAAGAATTATTGCTTATTTTTTATTGTTTAATTGATTTGTAAAAGATGATTTGTAAAAGTTGATTTGTTTAATTGATGCGAACATAATTCTTATTTGTGCTTGTTTAATTGATTGAAATGTAATGGTTGATTTTGTTGATTTCAATCTGCATTATGTTGAAGGCAAAAATGACTATCGCAATGCGAAATGAAAATCGCAACGAGATAATCGCAATGCGAAATGAAAATCGCAACGAGAGAATCGCAATGCGAAATAAAAATCGCAATGCGGAAATGAAAATCGCAATGCGAAATGAAAATCATGCGATGATGCGATGATTTTCGCATTGCGATTCTCTCGTTGCGATTCTCATTGCGATTATGCGATGATTTTCACATTGCGATTCTCTCGTTGCGATTTTCATTTCGCATTGCGATTTTCATTTCCGCATTGCGATTTTCATTTCCGCATTCCGATTTTCATTTCCGCGTTGCGATTTTCATGTTCGCGTTGCGATTTTCATGTTGCGATTTTCATTTCGCATTGCGATTCTCTCGTTGCGATAATCTGTAAATCGCAACGATAATCCGTAAATCGCAACGAGAATCTGTAAATCGCAACGATAATCTGTAAATCGCAACGATAATCCGTAAATCGCAACGAGAATCTATAAATCGCAACACTAAAATTTTGGGTATATAACTACGCAACAGCAGCAAATCATAAACTAAATCCCTAAATCGCAACTCATTCCATCTCCATCTATCACTCTCTCCGGCGACATCCGTTCCTATATCCAACGACATCCTTCCCAATCCGGCAACATGTTTTAGTTTCGTCTGTTTAGTAAATTAATTTACAACCATGAAATCATCTAATGTTGATCATGTTTGGATAGATTTGTGTTTTGGAGGGTCATGGGAGAATGTTCATGGTGTTTTACAATATATGCCTTTACCCATGATTCTTCAACTAAAATTGTCATTAAAAAGTTAACTTATGAAACTCTAATGTTACGTGTTTCAAAGAAATTGAATTTAGAGCCCCTAAGTGGATTTAGGCTATTTTATCAGAGAAATGGTAAAGTTTATTTGTTAACCGACAATGAAGATGTTGAACGATTCATTGCTTACATTAGTGTTTCAAGTGATGATGTTACATTGTATGTTGTTGAACCTAGAAGTAGTATTGTTGCGTCAGTAGCGGGTAGTAATCAACTAAGTTTTTCTCAAAACCCACAACCTTTCTCTAATCCAAATCCCAATCAACTTTCAGCACCAAATTTCGGTTTTCGTATTGACCAGTTAGACGATGATGAGCCAACAGAAAAAATTGTGAGTACTAGTCAGTATTCGAAATTTCATCTTGGTCAATACCCGGACTTTGATATTGGTCAATACTCGGATTTTGATGATGTTTCAGAAGAAGAAACAGACCATGCATGTAATGATTTTGATATTGGTCAATACCCGAATTTTGATGATGAAACAGTCGTTGCCGAGGAAGATATTGTTGATGATAATGAGGAGGAAGTTACGACTGTGAATGAACATCCATTCTGTAATTCATATAATCCTGAAGAAGAAAAAGAAGAAGAAAAAGTCCCCGAAGAAAAGAAAATGCCACGGGAGTATAACTGGAATATGCCATAATTACTTCAGATATCGGAAGAATAGTTGGTAAAGAAAGCAGTTGATTGTTACACAAAAGTTATTCGTATCAAGAAAGATGATTGTTTTGATACAAAGGAAGACTTGAAGATAGCTTTGTATACGAAATGTGTGGAAGATTGCTATCAACTAAAAGTTAACAAATCAAGCAAAGATCGTTTCGAAACAAGGTGTATGATTGACAAAAACTGTACGTGGCGTATGATTGCGAAGAGGATAAAAGATTGCGAAATGTTTCAAGTTAGGACTTTTATTGATAAACATACATGTTCAAGAATCCAAGTTTTTCCTCACCATAGACAGGCAAACAAAAAGGTGTTGGGTGGTTTTCTGGCTGAGTTAATGTTTTTGAATGGCAGGGTATATCGGGGACATGAAATTATGACTGACATGAATGCTCGGTTCAAGATTAGTATATCATATTCTCAAGCTTGGAGAGCCAAATGTTATGCCTTGGAATTGTTGAGGGGGTCGCCAGAAGCATCGTTTGCCCAACTGCCGGCTTATTGTCACAATTTAAAGCTGAAAAATCCTGGGTCAGTAACTCATATCAAAACAGATAGAGATGGACGCTTTGAGTTGCTGTTTATCGCCATTGGTGCTACGGTTAGTAAATCAATATAATTTTGTTGACTCATTTTTGTTAGTTACATGCATTTCACATTTAAATGATTATATTTCTTGTGTATATTATTTTTTAGATTCGTTCATTTATTACTTGCATGCGCCCAGTTATTATAGTTGACGGAGCACATTTGAAAGGTCGATACCTTGGAGTAAACTTATTAGCAGTAGCCATGGATGCTAACAATGGGATATTGCCAATAGCTTACGGGGTTGGCAAATCTGAAACCTCTGATTCATGGACATGGTTTATGGGGCATCTTAGGGATTGCATAGGTCCTATTAGCAATCTGACAATCATATCCGATAGGGCAAACTCAATTGACAACGCTGTTAGAAGGTGTTTCCCAGATGCTTTTCATGGACTTTGTGGTGTTCATTTGTATAGAAATCTAAAATCAAGGTCTGCTGGTATAAAAAAGCACAAATGGACATACTAGAAGGCTGTAAAAGCTTATCGGGAAGTGGATTTTAATAAGCATATAAACTGTTTAAGACGTGTTTTGCCTCAGTGTGCTCAAAGACTAGAAGATGTCGGGTTTGAAAGATGGTCAAGAGTACATCAACTTGGAGCAAGATATGGTTTAATGACGTCTAATAGTGCAGAATCAATCAATGCTCTAAGTCGTCATTCCCGGAAATTACCTATTACTATGTTAATGGAGTTTTTTCGAGCCTCTATTCAACAGTGGTACTACAAGAAAAGAAACCATGCAGGTAATTATTTATTTAAATCATAACTTATCATATATTTTACTAAGTATTGTTTATTTAAATTTACAGGAACATTAGAACATCGTGTTACACCATGGACTGAAAAAAAGATAACGAAACGTGTTGTGAAGTCAACGCCATGGAGAGTTTAACCATGTTCAAACACTTTGTTTCAAGTACTGGATAATAACTTAAATGGGCTGGTCGATCTAAATGCAAAGACGTGTAGTTGTATGAAATGGCAAACATCTGGTTATCCGTGTGGCCATGTTATAAAAGTTGCTCTTCATTTAAACCAAGATGATTCAAGCGCAGACGTTATGGATTGCTACACTACAGAAGTTTATCGACAGACTTATGCCGAGATTGTCTACCCTATTCCACATCCTTCTGAGTGGGACATACCAGATGACTTACAAACAGTTTTGCCACCAGCCATGGACAGAAGGCTACCTGGCCGACCAAAAAGTCACGATCGTATACCGTCTAAGGGTGAAGAGAAGAAGAGATCGACATGTAGTCGGTGCAAGGAAAGTGGTCATACAAGGTTGACATGTGGATCACCAGTGCCATCACAATCATCTTTTCCTCTACCAAAATATGGATCATCATCAAAATCCAAAGCTCATATGGTGTCAAGCAAAAGGCAATCATCTTTAAAATCCCAATCACAACTGGCTTCACCTTTTGGGACTGTTAACTTAGGTGATTTTTAAATGCAAACGTTGTATTATGTGGATTTTATGTGTGAACTTTTAACATTTTCAGTTGAATTAATGACTCAGGCCAACCATTTTGACTTAACCAACTCTTTTTATTCAGTTGTTATCACTTATTAGGCATGCATTTGACTATCGCAACATGGAAATGACGTTCGCAATCATCTTAATGACTATCGCAACGAGAGAATCGTAATGCGAAATGAAAATCGCAACATGAAAATCGTAGTGCGAATATGAAAATCGCAACGCGGAAATGAACTCAATGTGAGTACTTTATTCTAACCATGTGACAAGTGTGACAACCCCATCAACTCACAACTCAGCTTTGAACTCAATCAATATTGTCTTTTAGCTTGATGGTTCATAAAACATGTTACTTGAACAGTATAAATCAATTATGCAATTTCCATGTTCAATTTAACGCTGCATTTCAAATTCATTTCATATGTAATTGGAGTTTGAATTTAAATTTCAATTTGAGTTTGAATTTCAATATAAATTTCGGCTCCACTATAAATATTAGCCCAAGCCAATATGCATGTTATCATTGATTATTCCTAATTTCCATTGTTTTTTTTCAACTTTAAACGCGAGGGAAATCTCGACCATCGTATTTTTTGGTCAACTTTAAAGCGTCAGAAACGTTTCGGGCGTATGATCTGGGTGGTATACGAAAAATGGAACAAATGGCAACTAAAAATCCCGATAATTGAGGGCTACAACTTATAAAATGCTTCTGAGTACCACCCAAATCATAAGTCCGAAATGCTTCTCATGCTCATCAAAATCCAAAGCTCATCAAAATCCGATGCTTCCGATGCTTCATTTCGCATTCGATTTTCATTTCCGCATTGCGATTTTCATTTCGCATTGCGATTCTCTCATTGCGATTTTCAGTTCGTATTGCGATTCTCTCGTTGCGATTTTCATTTCGCATTGCGATAGTCATTTCCCATCTGCTACGCACATTTGCTCCAATCTGCTATGCACATTTGGCAGCCTCACAGGTTGGGACGTTCATGAAGTTTGAAGATGCATCTGAGACATCGTCAAGCCATGGTGGGGTTACGACACCAGGAGCTGTTGTTGTCCCTCAGCTGCCTAGGTTGAATGAGAAAGTCTGCAGCTCAATGTTCTTCTGTTGAGAGCGACGTATGAGCCGAGCCCCATGTTTTGTATAGTCATTTGGTGTTTTTTACCGAACGACTGAAACGGTTTTAAGTTAAAAATGTAGGATTATCCATCCCGGAATGTTTATGATGATGCAGTGTAGTTTGAATCATCATCCGTTTTGAGTATGAACCTACTAGTGTGAACAAGTGACTCTCACCTGTGTAACTTGGCTGTGTTTGTGGACTGTTAACTTAGGTGATTTTTAAATGCAAACGTTGTATTATGTGGATTTTATGTGTGAACTTTTAACATTTTCAGTTGAATTAATGACTCAGGCCAACCATTTTGACTTAACCAACTCTTACTTGTTATTCAGTTGTTATCACTTATTAGGCATACATTTGACTATCGCAACACGGAAATGACGTTCGCAATCATCTTAATGACTATCGCAACGCGGAAAATACAACCGCAACAAGAGAATCGCAATGCGAAATGAAAATTGCAACGCGGAAATGAAAATCGCAATGCGAAATGAAAATCGCAACGAGAGAATCGCAATGCGAAATGAAAATCGCAACGAGAGAATCGCAATGCGAAACTAATTCGCATTGCGATTTTCATTTCACATTGCGATTCTCTCGTTGCGATTTTCATTTCGCATTGCGATTCTCTCGTTGCGATTTTCATTTCGCATTGCGATTCTCATTTCGCATTGCGATTCTCTCGTTGCGATTTTCATTTCGCATTGCGATAGTCATTTTTGCCTTCAACATAATGCAAATTGAAATCAACAAAATCAACCATTACATTTCAATCAATTAAACAAGTACAAATAAGAATTATGTTCGCATCAATTAAACAAATCAACTTTTACAAATCATCTTTTACAAATCAATTAAACAATCAAAAAATAAGCAATAATTCTTATTTCCCCATCTACTATTGAATCAACTTTTACAAATCATCTTTTACAAATCAATCAAACAATCAAAAAATAAGCAATAAGAATTATTTCCTCATCTACTATTGAATCAACTATTGCAGCCATACATCATTTTCACGCAGTTCACTTCTGAGATTAACCTGCAGAAACCAAACATTTGCTCAAACAACACTTTCTACACATCTAAAACCTACAAATAGCAAATTATTGAATTCTAGGAACTTAACCAAACATTTCAAACCAAAAGCCTATAAACTTACCAATTGTTTATGGACATTTTTATAATGCGGATGCAGGTAGGCAGCGTCTCGTATATATCGATTTAGCCATATAATGCCGAAACCACAAGCCTACTGCAGCTCTATCTCTATCGGTGGGAGGTAGATACTGTATGCTTCCCGTCGTCAAACGCTCCAACGCCAAGCATACGAGAGGACCACAATCTCCTCTGGCTCCTTCTGTTTGTTGTGGCGCGGTCTCGTCTCTGGTAACTGTAATATTGAGCTTCTTTGGCTTCTTGTTTCCAGAACGAGTCCAATAATTGATCGCATCCAAGAATTTAGCCAAATGAGAGCTCCATCCCTTAATAATATCCCTTAAATCAGCCAATGATATGTAATTTATCATGCTGTCATATACTATTGTCTTAAGGGATGGGAGCTGAAGCTCGACGAGAATCCAATGTTTACGTTCCAAAACAGGGATAAACACCTGCAATCATAAGTAATAATTCATTCATTTGCGCACTTATTTATGAATACCTTTAAACTCAATCTAAAATAAATACTAACCTTATCGACCTCCCACCATGCAGGATAAAGTTTAGCTTGTCCATTGCCCAAAGCAAATGATTCATCTCGTTGATTCTTCAAGTGAACGGCTTTAAAAGACGTCGGCATAATTGTATATCGTATATTTTTATTTTTCTTAAGTTTTCTTATTATTATAAGACGTGTCACTCACGCATCGATATGTTGTTTTACAAAAAAAGACATATATTAGTGACTTACATAAATTTAAAAAAAAAATTAATCAAATTGAAATATAAGAAAAATATAAGACTTACCCCCCATCGAAATAGCCATTGTCTTCGACCCCTAATAATACGCCCCACCAAGACCGATCAAGCAACAAATATATATCATCGGTGAGCTTGCATATGTTAGTGAAACACCCCTGGCTCTGCTCATGTAGATAAAAATCAACTGCGGTCTTAGCCCAAAGGGTGTTATCCAGAATTGTGTCTGGTAGTTGTCTCCTCTCCACTTCAGATACCGGAATGGTACTGGCCGGTAACTTATACGAGAGCCAACTCTCATCCATCATGTTCGGCACGTCAGAGGGTTTCTCAAGAAGCCTACATATGACGCCATGTGAATCGGGCTCTTGAATGGTGGGAGGGACCTCTTCAATGATGACAGTGGCCTCTTGAACGGTGGGAGGGACTCTCAAGGAATGATAGGGGGGCCTCTTCAACGATAGGAGTGGACTCTTGAGGGATGACAGGCGAGTCGGACTTCTTCTTGCGGTGTCTTCACACTATTGGGGTGTACGGAGACTTAATAGCACGTTCACGCCGTCTGATGCGTGAACTCCGTCGTGCAAGCATAACCCGACGTAAAGCATCCACTCTATCGGGCCGCTAAATAATTAATTACAAAAATCAGTAAATAAATAGACATGATATTTAAACAGTGAAAACAAAGACAAATATGTTTCAAACTTGCATTGTATTTACCCAAGTCATTATTCTATCATAGTTCACAAAATGCATCAGATAACAAAGACAAATATGTTTCAAACTTGCAACACTGTCAAGTTAGTATTTGTCTTTGTCTATTGGTTGAAGTAATGCAATCCATTCAAGTTTCAATTTGCAGAAAAAGAAATAGTTTACTTTCGCAACACGAAACTTAAAATCGCAACGCGAAATGAAAATCGCAACGAGAAATCGCAACGCGAAATGAAAATCGCAACGACAGAATCGCAATGCGAAATGAAAATCGCAATGAGAGAATCGCAATGCGAAATGAAAATCGCAATGCGATTTTGGTTTCGCGTTGCGATTTTGGTTTCGCGTTGCGATTTCTCGTTGCGATTCTCTCGTTGCGATTTTCATTTCGCGTTGCGATTTTAAGTTTCGTGTTGCGAAAGTAAACTATTTCTTCTTCTGCAAATTGAAACTTGAATGGATTGCATTACTTCGACCAATAGACAAAACAAAGACAAATACTAACTTCAGGGTATTAGTTTAGCATAATTGGCAGCAACCGAACAAATTTACTTTTAACCAAAAGACAAAACAGAGACAAATACTATTTCACAGTGTTAAAGAATACACAGTTTAGCAGAATTGGCAGCAACCGAATAAATTTACTTCAACCAAAAGACAAAACAAAAGACAAATACTAACTTCATAGTGTTAAAGAATAAACAGTTTAGCAGTATTGGCAGCAACCGAATAAATTTACTAAGCAATCTAAGTGAAATGGCTAATCTAAGTGAAATTACGAGTAAATTTATCATCAAGTTAAATATGGAAAATCTTAAACTTACCTCGTTGCGTAGAGTATGAACCTCATTCTGCAACGATACTATCATCTCACGCAGAGCGGCAACCTCACCACGTAAAGTTGACACCTCCACACGCCATGCACCATCGTTATCGCGTAGAGTACCGATCTCCTCACGCAAGGCATTGACCTCATCACGTAACTCCCTTGACTCATCCCGTGGAGGTGGAGGTGGAGAACAGGGAGATAGGAGTCGTGGCATCTTTGACAGTCGCCTATCATGAGGTGATGGTGGAGAAGAGGATCGATGATGTGACGGGATAGGTGATGGCTCTCGTTCTAGATGTGTATAGTCGGGGGTGAGGTGATGGCTCTCGAAGTGGAGGAAGTGGATGCTGCTCATCATCCGTGCCATCAAAAAAACTCTGACTAGCTTGCCACCAATCAGTGGCAAGCTCTTCCTCCGTGGGTGTCAGTCTTTGTAATGGAATGTTGGCCTCCTAACAATATAAAAACTCAAACAAAGTTAAACGTCTACTATTAATAACTTGTTTATATATTATATGAAAGTATTTGTGTTAACTTACATTATTTATTGTCGCATATGGTATTAAGTCTTCTCAATCCAACAGATTTTTCCTCTTCCAGGAAATAGCCCTGGGAATATCATTTGACGTTTTTATTGCATATGTACGCATGCTGGGGAAAGCTTCGAATATCCAAATCTACAAACAATATAATAACAAACATTAGTAATTGTTAAATAATTAATTATAATTTTGGAAACATTATATAGAAATTCTTACCTTAAAGGCCCAAACAAAGCCTGACAAAGTGTATTTCGACCCATCGACACGCAAACTTTTGTGGTTATCAAAGGCAGACGACAACTTAGTCCATGTAGCTTTCCATATATACGAACCCCACGGAAACAGATTATATGCATTCAGGTCCTCTACCAATAATATTAGCTCCTGAGGAATAGGTTGTTTGGCCTCTCTGCCTAAAAAGCCGACATACAAAAGTACTAGAAGGCATACTCGGATAACATCGACGTCATCCATCCGAGTGAAACCATCTTTCTTATTAAACAATTTCTTCAGGTCGTCGACGTGTAGGTTCGGCTTCTTCATTGACTCATCAGGAAAAACCCGGGATAACCATGATTGGCGGGCGATATGACGAGTGTACCGACCTACATCATCGTGTCCGAATCGTAGACCAGTGATTAAGCAGAACTCCTTCCGCCCAAAACAAGTATACGCTGGTGGAAAATGAAATCATATCTCTTCCTCACCACGTTGTATACTGTCGGGTAGATTTGATGTCATGGTTTGAAGCCACAAATGGGTCAAGTTAGCATCTCCACCCGGATGCTGTACTCTCAGCCATGGCCCGAAGCAGGTTTCCTCAAACAATTATCTTTGTGCAGGTGAAAGCTTCGAAGCAATTGTAGTGGCTAGGCTGACTTTATTTCTTAAGGTCAATTGAGCCGAAAAAAATTTCTACAAAAACAATAATCATACCAAGTTAGATATACCAAAAACTACACTGTGAAGATATACCAAAAACAATAAACATAAAGAGTAGTAGTTTATTCTTCAAACTAAAATTTGCAATACTGTGTTTGTCTTTTGGTTGAAATGAAAATCGCAACGAGAGAATGACTATCGCAACGTGGAAATGAAAATCGCAACGAAAGAATCGCAACGCGAAATGAAAATCGCAACGAGAGAATCGCAACGCGAAATGACAATCGCAATGCGATTTTGGTTTCGCGTTGCGATTCTCTCGTTGCGATTTTCATTTCGCGTTGCGATTTTCATTTCTCTCGTTGCGATTCTTCTGCAAATTGAAACTTGAATGGATTGCATTACTTCAACCAAAAGTCAAAACAAAGACAAAGACAAATACTGACTTGAAAATCGTAACGAGAGAATCGCAAAGCGAAATGAAAATTGTAATGCGATTTTGGTTTCTCGTTGCACAGGGTTAAAGACTAAACAGTTTAGAAGTATATCTATTATTGAAATTACCAGTAAACTTATCATCAGTTTCAATATGAAAAACCTAAAATAATGCAAAATTTTCAAAATAAAAATAATTAAAAAAACTAACCCTCGGAGGTTGATTTTCCATTTCTGAATGATTGTGAGGGATTTCTGACCGTGAATGGTTATGAGGGATTTCACCGGAGATGGGGACGTAAATCTTCGAAGATGGGGACGGATTTCGCCGTAGAGAGTGAGAGATGGAGATGAGACTGAGTTGTGATTTTAGGTTTTAGGTTATGAGTTGCGATTACGGGATTTTCTCTTAATATTCGTGTTTGGAATTTGAAAATAAAATACGCGTAGCGATTCTAATGGCGCTTTAAAAATCGCGTTGTGATTTTACGTATTGTCGTTGCGATTTACGGATACGCGTTGCGATTTTACGTATTGTCGTTACGATTTACGGATACACGTTGCGATTTTACGTATTGTCGTTGCGATTTACGGATACGCGTTGTGATTTTACGTATTGTCATTGCGATTTACGGATACGCGTTGCGATTTTACGGATACTCGTTGCGATAGTAAGAATCGCGTTGCGATTTATAAGTTCGCGTTGCGATTTTCATATTCGCGTTGCGATTCTGGAAAATCGCAATGCGAATTTGTACTATCGCATTGCGATTTTCAAGAATCGCAACGCGATTCTGGAAACTGATTTGCGATTCTGGGGATCGCGTTGCGATTTTTATTTCACATTGCGATTTTGTTGGTCATTTTGGCAAATCCAAAAAAAGTTGGTTAAAATCGTATATTATAAGGCATTTTTGGTCACTGAGGCGATTTTCTCTTTCTCGTTTATTGGTACAATCTTTTTTTTTTATAAATTTATTTTATTATCCAAGATGCATAAATCTTCTGCAGAAAAATCACAACAATAGGATACAGGATACAAAATATTATCCTAACATTGGGATAAAGGACTCCTTACAACATTATTTGATGGTTAACACTCCCAACGATTACAAAGGTAAATATTAATATTTGTTGAACTATGTTTTGGTATAACAATTTAAGGCAAAATAGTTTTTGGACTTGAATTGAATTTACAAAATATTTTTGGACTTAATTGAATTTATTCAAAGTTTTAAAAGGTTTCAAAAATAATTCAAAGTCCATTAAATTCGGATTTGAGCCAAAATGCTAAAGGGTGTCAAAGTGCATCCATGCACCCCTGTAGTGCATCCATGCACCTGCACTAGTGCATCGATGCACCATGCAGTGCATCCATGCACTCAAACACCGAATGCAATTAGTGCATCGATGCATCAAGGCTGTGCATCGATGCATCCTGTTGTGCATCCATGCACGAAGGCTGCAACGGCTAGTAACGGCTAGTTTATTTGAATTTAATGAAGGGTATCGATGCACCATGATAATACACCGATGCACATGTTATGGGCAGCCTTTTTTAGTAGAAAAATCATCCCCAAATGGTTCCAAAACATCCCCAACGGCTATATACAACATCAAACACATTCCAAGCTATAAATACAAGCTAAGGACACTTGAAGAATGTAGAGAACAACTATCCAAGCAATCAAACACAAGAGAAGAGTTTTTCATTCTTATTTCATCTTTCTCTTGTAAATATTTTGTTCTTGTAAGCTCAATCTTGTAAACACCTACCTTTGAGAGGTTTATTTGTTTACTTTTCTTATCCTTTTGTAAAGGGGAAAGGTTCTAACTAATCCCGTTTAAAAGCTAGGGAAAGGTTCTAGTTTAGCCCGGAAAAACTAGGGAGTTGTAAGGTTATCTCTTTGTCCTCAAAAGAAAGAACAAATTAGTGAATTTGTTGGAAAATCCTTGGTGAGGAGCTAAGGTAGTGGATGTAGACTTTGGTTGAGAAAGTCGAAACACTCTAAATCGTTGTGCAATTTTCTATCTTTCAATCTCCTTACTCCTAAACACAAAACCGTTTCAACCCCTCTTTGCAAACCATTCCGGTTGTCGATTCGAATTTCGAATGCAGAAAAATCACAACAATGGGATACATGATACAAAATATTATCCTAACATTGGGATAAAGGACTCCTTACTTACAACATTATTTGATTGTTAACACCCCAACAATTACAAAGGTAAATATTAATATTATTTAATCTATTTATGTTTCTTCCTCTTAATTGGATACATACAATCTCCTTAATAGAGTTCAGCATTTCTTTCACACTTCTTTTGTTTCTTTTGAACAGTCTTCTGTTTCTTTCCTCCCACAGTGAGTAGATTAACGCGCACCAAGCAAGTTTCAAGATAGTAGTGAGGATGAACTTACCTTTCCAAGTACTACAGGCCCAGTCTAACATGCTAACCCATCGTAAAGGAGGATTGCATAAGCCGGAGAGGTTTAGGATATCATTCCACAAGGAAACTGCATGAAAGCATTTGCTGAACAGGTGGTCCCTAGTCTCTGTGGCCTCATTGCATAATATACATGAGCTGTTAGTGTTGATTCCCATTCTAAGAAGCCTATCTTTAGTTGGAAGTCTGTCAAGAAGTGGCATCCATGTAACCATGCTATGTTTTGGAATGTGTAGTAGAAACCATATCAATTTGTGCCATTTGCTACTTTTTCTCGAAGTTCTTTCCAGAAATCATTTGTCTTTTGTGAACTTGTAGCTAAAATAGGGATTGTATATGCCCTGAGTTTCAATAAGCGTCTGATACACCAACTATAATTTGTAATATCTTTCATGGGCATAAAGTCTTTATCCTTGATAACGTAGCTTTTAATCCAAGCTACCCACAAAGATCCTTCTCCGGCAAGGATGTTTCTGATAAGTTGAATTATACATGCTTTATTCCATGTTTTGATATCTTTTAATCTGAGTCCTCCTTCAGATTTGACTTAGCAATTTTTTTGCCAGTTGACTCTTGCTCCTGTGGATGCCTTATCAGTGGCTTTCCAAAAAAATCTAGAGCAAAGTTGTTCAATCCTATAAATAATAGTCTGCGGCAGGATTAATTGATTGCACCAGTAGTTTGCTATACTGAAAAACAGCTCTGATTAGTTCTAATCATCCTGCATAACTCAAGTGTTTTCCCGACCAGTGATGAAGCTTTAGTTTGATCTTTTCGATAAGAACTACACAGTCATTTTCAGTGAGTTTCCTTGTGACTAAATGAACTCCTAGGTATCTGACTGGCAAGTAACCATGTTTGAATCATGTTGATTGTAGAATATGGCCGAGATTTCTGATTGAGACTCCATCAGTATATAGTTCACATTTGGCAGCATTAAGTTTTAGACCATACATTTCATAGAATTGGTCCAGTACGCTAATGACTCCCGTAACAGATTCGATGTTTCCTTTACGGAAGATTAGTAGGTCATCTGCAAAAGAAATGTGAGTGAGGCCGATCTTCTTACATTTAGGATGATATCCAAACAAACCTTTAACAACAACCATGTTGAGGATTCTAGAAAGCACATTCATTGCCAGAACAAATAAGATCGGAGAAAGGGGATCACCCTATCTTATTCCCTTTGCACCTTTTAAGAATCCAATCAAACTGCCATTGAAAGAAATGGAGTATCTTGCTTCAGTATAGCAGGTTTCAATCCAACCAATGAAAGAATTAGGGAGCTGTAAAGCCTGAATGATGGAAGAAATGAAACTCCAGTTAAGAGAGTCAAAAGCCTTTTGTAGATATATTTTCAAGGCACATCTTGGAGAGATTGTTTTCCTTCCATATCCTCTCACCAGTTCTTGAGCAAGGAGGGTGTTGTCAACAATATTTCTTCATTTGACGAAAGCTTATTGGTTGAGAGATATTATTCCTGGTAGTAATGTAGTCAACCTTTTTACTAAGATCTTTGTGATTGTCTTGTAAATTACAGAGCAATAGGAAATAGACTGAAAGTCACTAATCTTGTTGGGATTAGGGACTTTTGGAACCAACGCAATAGTAGTAGCATTGAACGTTGGGAGGATGAATGTCTCTTGAAAGAAGTATTTAATAACTTTTACAACGTCTTCTCCGACTACAGACCAGGATGTTTTGAAAAGTATGGAGTGAATCCATCAGGACCTGGAGCTTTGTCATTTCCCTGGTTGAAAATTGCTTCTTTGATATCATCACACGTAACTTCCTTTACAAGATTAGAAGAATAATCTAATAGCAAATTAAATTGCATTAGATCTTTCAGAAGATTAGGATTACAGTTTTTTACCCTTGGATCTGCAGCACCTAAAAGACCAGAGAAAAAATCAGTAACCTCATATGTCATTTCATCGAGGTTTCAAGCCTTCTACCTTGTTCATCAACCAGAATCCGGATGGTGTCTCTTTTGTTATTGCCTGAGATAATTGAATGGAAGAATTTTGTGCATTTGTCACCCTCTTTTAACCATTGAACTTTGCCTTTTTGTTTTAAAAACATTCTCTCTGCTTCTTCAAGGGATAGGAGCTCATTCTGTAAAATCAGCTGTTTTCCTATTGTGTCTTCTCCATTTAGAGTTGATAGTTGAAGTTGTTCAAGCTCTTTTTTCTTCTGGCGCACCCGAGAAGAAATATCACTATAACATTCCTTGTTATAATGTCATTTTTAGTCTATAAATTTGGTAACTTTCTCAATTTAATATCTAAGCTTTTTTTTCTTCTTAGTACAATCTTTTCTGTCTTGGCAAATGTCATTTTAGTCTATAAATTTGGTAACTTTCTCAATTTAATATCTAAGTTTTTTTCTTCTAAATTTTCAAATTTAATATTTTTAATTTTCTTGATAAATGATGCTCTAAAACTATATTGTATAATGTATTCTCATAGTGATATATTATAAATAAGGACAGACATAAAATTTTATGTTGATAGATGTAAATTTAAAAAATTATATTAGAGAACTCATCGATTGATCTTAGTGGT